TGGAGAATGGTGAGTAGAAGAGAGGTGACTAATTCATCCTGACAGGGAAGTCAAGGGAGACTAATTCATCTTTGTATACTTCTCTGTCTCTATAGTGCCCAACACAGTGCTTTAGACATTGGAAATGTCTGATAAGTGCTGACCTCCATTAATAGAGACGATAGGGAAGATAGGAGGAGGAGGAGGTGTGTGTGTGTGTGTGTGTGTGTGTGTGTGTGTGTGTGTGTTGGGTGGGTTATTGGCACTGAAGATGACGAGTTATTATTTTGGGCATGTTGAGTGGAGGTGCCAGCAAATCATAGTTCTGAAGATTTTCAACAGGTAGTTGGCAGTATGGATTTAGAGCATGGGAGAGATAGAAGAGCTGGAGATGAAACTGACAACTGACAGTATAAAGTGGTAGATGATGAAGTATAAAATATATAGCAGATCATCAGTGGACAGAGAATGCACTGTGGCTGGAGAGGCTGGGGAAGGCTTCACAGAGAAGGTAGAGCTTGAATTGAACCCCCAGAGACATGTAGGCTATGGGTAGGCCCAAAAGAGAGTGGGGGACAATCTAAATCAGTGATTGATCAGAGAGAACAAAAACCACAAAAGATCTGCAGTAAGATTGAGCAGAGTGAGCTTGGGGAACAGTGGGAGAGATTAGCTTGATGTAATGAAAATGTCTTGTTAGGAAAGTAGGTATCAAGTCTTTGTTGACTTAAATTCTTTCCCATCCCAACTCTTGCTGCTTCACAAAATAGTGAGTAGGATGCTGCAGAGGGACATTTTAAACTCAATGCTATGCTGTTTTATGTTTGGTCTAGAAAATACTTATCAACTTTTATTTCTTTCCAGGAAGTTCATACTGATGTGTAAGCTTAGGAAAGAAGATTTATCTTTAAGTTTTTTAAAAAAATGATTCAGAGATTAAATGTACATCTCATTGAAATGAAACCTTCAATTTAGAATTTTAAACCCCACTGTCATACAACTGATTCAATTAAGGGGTCATTAAATCCTTCTTCTAAAACTTCTTATTAGAAGGTAAATACAGATATCAAATAAAGGAGTTAGATAGATGGCTAATTAAATTTGTATTAAGGCAGATTAAGAAATGGCTCTACTGATTATATACCAAAACTTGGATTGAGCTTTATATTTAGACTTCCTGTTTAATCCCCTGGGTATATCACATAGATGTTTCATATCAGAGAAACTAGTTGTCACTAAATTTCTTTTTGTCTTGTCACCACCAATAGGTGGTGGAATCTGTATATCAGCAAGGGAAGGGAAAGAATCAAAAGTTAACTGGTACAAAAAAAAGTTAATTGGAAAGGAATCTTTATATCAGGATTTGAAGTGCTTCATATATATCTATGTGACACTTGTTATTTGAGTTATATTGTGCCAAATAACCCATTTGAATTCTATATTACGCTGATGTTTTTTCAGTGATTGAATTGAATTGACCAATCTTTTCATTGCCTTAGAATCACCACCTAAAATGTTTTGTTTTGATGTTAGTTCCAGTTAGGTCACATTGAAATACCCCCAGGGATTGAACATGTTTCCTCTGAACCTCCACATCTCTGCTCCTTCTCTGCATGTTGCTCAGTGTAGGTTTCAGAGAGAATTGCACATAGTAAGAGTAAGCAATGGTAGCAGTGGGGGTGGGGGGCAAAGAGGAACCAGAGGTAGGAAACTGTCACTGAGGCACAGTGCTGGTGTTTTTCTTTTTGTAACCACTCCTTGATTCCCCACACCCCAATAGGGCCAGTAATTTACAAGGGCTACATTTTTTTTGACTTCCCAAGTCTGTACTTCCAAATCTGTCTTCCTTCTACTCTTTCCAGTACTTTGCTGAAAAAGAGTGGTGAGATGGGTACTAGACTAATCGGGATGGTCACTTCATAAGTGATATAAATTTCTAATCACTATGTTGTACACCTGAAACTAATATAACATTGAATGTCAAATGTAATTGAAAAAATAAATCTAAAAGAAAAAGGATTGGCGAGGACACACATCCTTGCCTTGTTCCTAATCTTAGGGGGGAAATCATTTGGTCTTTCACCATTATGTAAGATGCTAGCTATAGGTTTTCATAGATGTTCTTTATTGCGTTGCAAAAGTTGATGTTTATTCCTATTTTTTTCTGGAAGTTTTTTTCTTTTATCTTTTTTGTTAATCCTCACGAAAGTATACTTTTTCCCGTTGATTTTTAGAGAGAGTGGAAGGGAGGAAAGGAGGGAATGAGGTAGGGAGAGAGGAAGGGAGGGAGGGAGGGAGAGAGGGAGAGAGGGAGAGAGAGACATTGATGTGAGAGAGACACATTGATTGGTTGCCTCCTACACACGCCCCAACAGGGACTGGGGCTCGAACCTGCAAACCCAGGTATGTGGTCACTAAAGGAAGCGAACCCAGCTGACGCTCTACCCCCTGAGTCACACCGGCCAGGACTGGAAGTTTTATTTTCTTGAAGAGTGTTCAGTTTTGTTATGTGATATTATCATATGATTTTTCTGTTTAGACCAGCGGTTCTCAACCTGTGGGTCGTGACCCCTTTGGCGGTCGAACGACCCTTTCACAGGGGTCGCATAAGACCATCCTGCATATCAGATATTTACATTACGATTCATAACAATAGCAACATTACAGTAGCAATGAAAATAATTTTATGGTTGGGTCACATGAGGAATTGTATTTAAAGGGCCAGAAGGTTGAGAACCACTGGTTTAGACTATTATTGTGGGTTACACTGATTGATTCTTGAATATTTAACCAACCTTTCATCCCTGGGATGAATTACATAGTATATAATTCTTTTAATATTGCTGAATTATATTTGTTAATACTTTGTTAAGATATTCATGAAGAATGTTGGTCTGAAGTTTTCTTTTTTTTGGTGCTGTCTTGGTCTGTTTTTTGTGACTCTATAAGAGTGAGTTTATAAAATGAGTTGGAAAGTGGTCTTCTTTTATTTTATATAATAGATTGTGAAGAATTTGTATTGCTTCTTCCTTAACATTTGATAGAATTCTCCGGTGAGAAGGGTGGCGGGGGCGGGGTTTTTAAACGAGAGTTTAAAATAAAAAAATCCTATTTCCCAAAAAGAAAAAAAGCAATACAAATTGTCTACTTCAGAGGGGGGAGGGGAGATTGTATTTACTGTCGGAGTAATTGATTCACTACCCTCTAAATATCAAATTTGGGGGGGGGGGGTTTTTCATAG